ATAGTTTTTTTCATAATTCATATGTTCCCTGAAGTTTTTGAAAACCCTTTGTAAATCACATTTCTTTCCATTCATCTGTTGATAGACATCTTGGCTCTTGTGACAAATGCTACAATAAACATGAGAGTACAGTTATCTCTTCAATATACTGATTTCATTTCCTTTTAGTACACAGCAGAGGAGGGATTAATTTCTGGTTCATACCATAGTTCCATTTTCTGGTTTTCTGAGAAATCTTCATATTGTTTTCCATAACAGTTGTTCTACTTTTAATTCCCACCCACAGTGTGCAAGGTTTTTCTTTTCTCCTCATTCTCTCCTTGTCTTCTGAGTGCTTGATAATAGCCTTCCTAGGAGGTGTGAGATGGTAATCTCATTGTGGTTTCAAATTGCGTTTTCTTAATGATGAATGGTATTGAGCATTTTTTTTATAAATCTGTATATATAAGATTTGAGAAGTGGTTGTTCAGACCCTATGCTCATTTGTAAATCAGGTTATTCATTTACTCACTATTGAGTTATTCGAGTTCCTTATATATTTTAGGTAATAACACCTTTTTAGATATATCATTTGCAATTTTTTCTCCCATTTTGTAGATTGTCTTTTCACTTGGCTCATTATTTCCTTCATTGTACAGAAGTGATCCCGTTTGCCTATTTTTATCTTGTTGCCTGTTCTTGATTGGTACCCAAAAAATCATTGCCCAGACTAACATCATGGAATTTACCCTCTAGGTTTTCTTCTAGTAGTTTTATTGTTTTATATCTCATATTTAAATCTTTAATCCAGTTTGAGTTGATTTTCTTACATAGTTTGAAATGAGGGTCGAATTTAATTCTTTGAATGTGGATATTCAGTTGTCTCAATACCAACATTTATTAAACAGAGTATACTTTCCCCAGTTATGTGTTCTTGGTACCTTTGTTGAAAATCAGCTGAGATGACCGGCGCCATGGCTCACTTGGCTAATCCTCTGCCTGTGGTGCTGGCACCCCAGGTTCTAGTCCTGGTTGGAGCGCCAGATTCTGTCCCGGATGCCCCTCTTCCAGGCCAGCTCTCTGCTGTGGCCTGGGAAGGCAGTGGAGGATGGCCCAAGTGCTTGGGCCCTGCACCCGCATGGGAGACCAGGAGAAGCACCTGGCTCCTGGCTTCGGATCGGCACAGCGCGGCAGCCACAGCGCACAGGCCATACCGGCCATTTGGAGGGTGAACCAACGGAAAAGGAAGACCTTTTTCTCTGTCTCTCTCTCACTGCCTAACTCCACCTGTCAAATAAATAAATAAATAACAATAAAAAAATCAGCTAAGAATAAATGTGTGATTTCTGAGATCTTTGTTATGTTGCAATGGTGTATATATATATATATGTATTTATGTACATGTATATATGTATATATATGTGTGTGTGTGTGTATGTTCTTATGTCAATAATACTCTGTCTTTTTTATTATAGCTTTGTAGTACATTTTGAAGTTAGGTAGTATGATGTTTCCAGCTTTTTGTTTTTCTTCAGGATTGTTTGGACTCTTCTGTGTGTATCAAGAAATTCTTAGTCTACATTCAGCACATATTCCAGCTTCTTATCACCAACTCAAAAACTATTACCTTGACCTCTAGCTGGGTCACTAGTTCTAGTTAATCTTCCTGTTTCAAGATACTGGCCATATTGTACATGTAAGCATACCCTGAAGATGTTTTTATGATTGACTATTTCTGTTTTTATTATTTCTTTCTTGTTGTCTCTATATTCTGATTGGTAAGTTTCTGTGTTAGTTTGACTTTATAAACAGATAAAGACTGTCCCAACTTTGACTATGTCAATAGTCTCAGGGCTCTGCTTCCAAACCCCAAATCGTTTATGCATGCCTCTGACACGCTAACCTACAGAAGGGCAATGTGGCATCGATCTGAAACTTCAAGCCTTCTTTGCTAGTTACTGGACAAATTGGGATGAGCTTCTCAGTGAAATGGGGATGATGGAGTAGTAAACCTATTTCATGGGATACTTTGAAAATTAAATGAGATTCAGTAAGCAAAGGAATTTAATATGTCACCTGCACACAGTAAAGGCTCAATAAAAGTTAGCTGCCATCATCTTCTTCATCATTGTCGTCATCATCATCATCATCATCATTATTATACAACTTCCTGCTCATTATTCAGTATTTCTCATTGTCTACAGAACTGGCTCAAAATTTTATGCTAATGAAACTTCCTTTTACTCATCCAAAATTATCTCCATTTTTCTTCCTAACACAAGATAACAGCTTCAGCTATGTTCTTCCACCCTCATGCCCTTATGTCTATGTTTTGTTCCAGTTTTCTTACATGAAAACTGAAGACTTTCACAACTAACTTCCCTCCAGCCACAATCTGATTGCTCTCCCCATCACTGTGTCTTCATCATTCTTTTGTTGTTAGTTTTCAAGTTATGATGCATTATATTTTATCTATATGTCCAATGCCACACTTGATTGTATTCTTCTGAAGGACAGAGATTCTTTTTAAAAAATTAGTAAATTTTATTTTTAGAACCATTCTAGGTTCATGGCAAAATTGATCTAAACCACAGAGATCTCATATATCCCCTGCATCCCTGCCCATTGTCCACTCTACCCACCAGTGTATACAGTCAGTGAACCTACATTGATGCATCATTATCCCCCAAAGTCTATAGTTTACATTAGAGTTCACTCTTGGCCTTGTACAGTCTATGGGTTGGGCAAAAGTGTAATGAAATGTCTCCATCATTATAGTATCATACAGAATAGTTCACTTCCCTGAAAATCCTGTGTGTTTGTCTATTTGTTTCTCTGTCCCTATCTTTCTCTTTGCCCTCTTCCCTTTCCCTGGTCCTTTCCCTCCACCTCAGCCCTTGGCAAATGATTCTCTTAAACTTGTCTTTGAACATAACATAATACTTGACACACATAGTTGCCCCTCAAAAAGTGTTTTCAGATGAGTGGATGAATAAATAAAAGAAGGAACAAATTGAAGAGAGTGAGAGGATCTTGTCACTGTCTGGTTGACTTGTTTGCTGGCTTCAGTACTTAGTCATACTTTCCTGTCCTGTTCAGAAGAGCACTCTACCTATTCTAAAATACCAATTCAAATCCCACCTTATTTATTAAGCCTTAGAGTGGGCTCTGGACACTTCTAAGTCTTATTTTTTTTAACTATCCATTTAATTCAATGTATCACATTGGAAAATTTTTGTTTCTCAAATAAGTATCCAGATTCCCCAGTGAAACTGAATTATATTTTTATGTGGTGGGTGGAGTCTTATAGGAATTCATCCTCTTGCTTTTTATGAACAAAAAGTGTCTTCATAAATTGTCGCTTTTCACTTGGTTTTGTAAGCAGTGAGCATAAGTGAACTTTTGCAGATATGAGCTTTCACCAATTCTCCTAAAAAGCAATAGAAGGTTGTCAAATTGCCATTAAAATAGTATAAGATTTCTATGGGATAATGGAAGTTACTCAAAAAATATTTCCGATCTTTTTCCAAATATTTAAAACTACATTTCTGATTTTTAAATATAAATTTCAGAAGAAAATGTTACACGTTTCTGATTTTCCAATCATTCTTTTCTTTACTGCCCCTTCCCCCAAATACCGAAGATTAATTTATATTTTGATTTTTTTTATTTTATTTTGACTATATACAATGATATGCTGACCTGGGAGGTGAAAATGCTTGTTGTTTTTGTTGTTGTTTTGTCTTTTTTTGTCTACATTATAGGACTATTTTGCACGAAGATCAACTTTTCATTAAATTTTTTTCACTGGGCTACTTTTCCATGGTTTGAGGGAGTTCTGGGAAAAGTTATTTGAGGAGGCTCAAACTTGAGTATGAATCAGGGACATTTGACACTCCTACTTTAATAAGATCAGTACACATTTGAAATATTGCAAAAAGCTTTAGCCTAATCATATCATAAAGTGTTTGTTTAAGTTAACAATTTTGTTTTTCATGTAGAGGTGACAATCATAAGAACTGCCACTATATTATGAATTAAATAATAGTATTCTTCTTGGAACAGTACCACAAGGAGTGATATTTGCTATTTTTTTCAGTTTTGTATTTATATAAGGTGAACAAATTTCATGTATTTCATATATACAGGTTTAGGTGCACAGTGATGCTTCCCATCCTGCCCAGGTACTGTTCCATGCTTCCACCCTCCCTTCTCTCTCCTTTACTTTACTTTATAATCATAAGATTAACCCTCCACTAAGTAAGGAATTCAAAAATAGTAACAGGAAAAAAAAAAAACACTGCCCCCCACAATAGAGACAAGGGATGTAAACAACCATTAAATATCAAAAGTGCCAATTTCACTCATATACATTATATTTTTTGTACTTGAATCGTTATCACATGGAAAACTATGTGGTACTTGTTGCTTTTTAGACTGGCTTATTTCACTAAGTATAATGGTGTCCAGTTGCATCCATTGTGTTGTGAAAGACAAGATTTTATTCATTTAACAGCTGAGTAGTATTACATTCTTTATATGTACCATATTTTCTTTGTCCAGTCATTGGTTGATGGACACCTGGGTTGATTCAATATCTTAGCTATTGTGAATTGAGCTGCAATTAACGTGGAGGTACAGATAACTCTTTTGAATGTTGATTTCATTTTGTTTGGTTAAATTCCCAGCTCTGGTATTGTTGGGTCATAAGGTCGATCAGTTTTCAGTTTTCTGAGGAATCTCCATACTGTCTTCCACAATGTCTGTACTAGTTTAAATTCCCGCCAAAAGTGTATTAAGGAACTTTTCCCCCACATCCTCGCCAGCATTTGATATATGCCATTTTAAAAGTAAACAAAGCATTCTATAGACATTATCTTTAAAATTTATTGCTATGCATATTCCTCATCATGATCTTGTAATTGATACCAGTTTTAAGTTTTACAAAAGTAATTTCAAATCTTAAAAGATAAACTGAGTAAATAGTGATTAGGTTCATGGCAGTTCTGTTTTATTCACAGATAATGCGTCTGAGGTAGCAATTACTGCTCCAGGAACTAGTAATCATAGAAACAGCTCTACAGGCCCAACACCTGACTGCTCACCTCCATCCCCCGACACTGCCCTCAAAAACATTGTAAAAGTTATTCGACCCCAGGTAAGTGCCCAGTACATCTGCACTGTAATGTATTTTGGTTTTGAATCACTGCGTGTATACCACGTATATTACACTGCCTGGACTCCTTTATGGTGTGTCAATGGATTTTTAAATTAAAAGAAGGGACTCAGTAAAGGATGTTTCCTTTGATATTGACAAAAGACATTGAACTCTGTTTTAGCTTTTGGAATAATGAATCATATGTATGAAGAAATGAGTGAAGCACAGAAAAATGACCCTTCCAAATCGTTTTCCTCTCACAAGTTAGTAATTATGCTGCAGATATTGCGCAGGTCTGTGGCCCTGGTATTTCCTGCTGGCTTGGTCTCCATTCTTCTGGATGTGTGGCATTGTTTGTGCTCATATCTCAATCCTCCAGGTCTGGCGGTTTTTCTGCATTTTCTTTAAGTTCTCCATACCTACTGTTAATGCTGTCTGTGTTTGAGACTGCACCTCTCATCACTCCTTGTTTTCCTCTGTGCTCACGTGCCTCTAGCTAGTCTTTATCTTGTGTTATTTTTTTTTCCATTCCTGTCACTTGTCTGCTTGGATTATTTTTCTTTCCCCTTCTCTTTTCAGTAGGATTTCCCAGTAGGCGGTTTGCAGGCAAGCTTTAGAAATATCATTGGGACAAGCTGTTCTGTGATATTTCATTGAAAATAGAACATATAAAGCTGTTTGCATTATATTTTTGTCAACAGATGGACCCAGAACATGGAATTAGTGGTATTCTCAACCTGGCTTATTCTGAATGGGCCTCATAAAATCCAAGAGAGGGGACTTGGGATCTAGTCAATGCCATTCACCATTCAATTAAATGTATAGTATAAGTAACCATGTAAACTAATTATCGAGGCTAATAATTGTTGGTCTAAATGAGCAATGATTTGTTTAATATCCTTTGTATAATTTATTTTGGATGATCTTTTTAGCTATAGTCCTCATCCTCATCAATGAAATGGCATTTAAACTTCAGATATCCACTATAGTTTACAGAACACTTTCATATAAATTGTTTCACTTACCTTCATCAATTACAAGGGAATTTACATTCTAATGTTATGAATAAGGTATTGCATGCCAGGGCTGGCACTGTGGCATAGCAGGTAAGGCCACCGCCTGCAGTGCTGGCATCTCATATGAGCACCAGTTCGAGACCTGGCTGCTCCATTTCCAATCCAGCTCTCTGCTATGGCCTGAGAAAATAGTAGAAGATGGCCCAGACACATGGGCCCCTGCACCTACATGGGAGACCTGTAAGAAGCTCCTGGCTCTTGGCTTTGGATCGGCATATCTCCGGCCTTTGTGGCCATCTAAGGAGAGAACCAGTGGGTGGAAGACCTCTCTCTCTGCCTCTGCCTCTCTGTAACTCTGCCTTTCAAATAAATAAAATAAACCTTTATACAAAAGAATATTGCAATGCCTAGGGATCTAAATTGTTCAACTAATTTGGAGTTCCTTTTCTTTGCTTTATACAAACATAATCATTGTCTCCTCCAGTCTTATTCAGAGTTTAGAAAAATCCTTGTGATGTTATGCCACGTGACACCTTTATGAGTATGGAATTTGTCAGTTCAGTATTGTTTAGGCACAGATAATATTATAGGCAGTGTTCCAATGTGTATGTGTGGGAGAGGGGACTGTTTCCAAGAATTCCCTTTTCTCTTCCAGGGAAATTTGATTTTATTCTTTTGATTCAAAGAATAAACTTCGAAGCCCACATTCAGATGCTGCATGCTAGTGATTGGTTCTCTCATATGTGAAGATGTTTCGGGTATTATTGTATATCTGTTACATTTCCAATGTCTTAGAATTACTTATATAAGATACTGTCATACATATGTTGATAAAATTCGTTACTAAGTAATTTTACTTCTATAAAATAAAATAAAATTCTGTAATATGAATTCACTTTGTTCAGTGAATGAAAAGATTGCTTTAGATATATCTATATATGTCTGATAAATTCTAACAGAATCTCCATGAATCCTTCTCTGTATATTATATCTTAATTTTGTTCAGCTTAGCTTTTTTGGTAAACTTTGAAGAAAATGAAAGGTACTATTGAAGCCAAAAATTCATCTTGACTGTTCCTTGGTTCTGTTAGTTCCTCAGTGTTTACGAGAGGTTATTGATTCCACCTTTCTTCAATGTTATGATAATGAGTTAAAGGGACAAATAAAGTGAGAAAGTTAAGTAACCCAGGATAATGATGATATTTAAATTATAACTAAATGCAACCTGTAAGTGCATATGTAATAGTACAATAATAGCTAATATCCACAATTGAGAATGAATATAACCCCAAACGGGTACTCTTCCACTTAACCAAAAACTTTGGTATATTAGTCATTTCCCCTTGTGACTTTTGACCTCCTGAAAGTCTCCATTCACTGTACAGAGAAAGGAGTAAACAATTCACAGGGAGGTGATTAAGAGGAAGTGTTGGAGTAAGTTTCAGGACAGAGTTTGGAGACTAGAAAGTATACACAGGGGATAGATGGGTAGATATTCAAGGAAACACTCTGGCATATTCTGACAAATGACAAATATGTCAGGGATGTAAAATTGAGAGCTACTGTTCCAAAGAAAAAAAATAATTATTGCTTAGCTTATATTAAAAACCTATAATTTGATCACAGATTTAATTCTCTAAAGTGTTTGTTGATTCTGGCTTTCTGTCTGGAAATGCAAGAAATGTAAAATTAGATTGACTTGTGTGTATTCAAGTATTTTTATCATTACTAATTAGAAATTAATCATGTGATTGAGATGATAAGTACACTTTTAAGACTGGTAAGGAGCCTTGCAAATGAAAGTACTACTTAACACTAATTCATAAATTTATATTTCCTTGCCTGGGCATTAGCTGATGTGCTCAGTTGTTTATTGTGGAATGAATGACATTGAATAAGTGAGATAAAAGGATTTTCATCTTGTTCACAAAGAAGAGATAACTTGCTTAGATAGAGCAAGTTAGGATAAGGCAGGGAGCTATTTACTTCACACATGCCTTTATCAGTTCATCTTCTTTGATCATTCCTGTAAATGAAAAGTATCCATTTTAACCAAGAAATCCTTTCTTTCAGCGTGTTATGGCTGATTACACATTGCATATGTTTCTGATTACTGTGTTAATAACTTAGAAGCTGCAAACTTTCTAGTGCTTTGTTAGATTTATTTTTATGCACCATATTTATGAATTCATGAAGTCACAGCTGTTAGTGCTGCATCTTGTATTTGATCTTTTCACCTTTGCTTCACTGGGTTCTTTCATGTCTTCAAATCCTCCAGATTGTGGAACATTCTATTTTTAATTCATAGCAACTAAAATATTTATATACTATTGGTTTCTCTTTGTTTCTCTCAATATATTAACCCACAAGGCAGAGTTTCTCTATTTAGATGAACCCACAAGACTGGATTCATTTGCTTATACTTAAAAATAAAATTATTTTTACACTTGAAAAACTTATCTGGAAAAAAATATTATGTTGGTCTTTTGACATACCCATTCTCTTCTTTCTCCTAAATAATTATATGTTACTTGTGTTGCTTTTTAATTGACATAAAATTATATATAATTATCACATACAACATGCTGCTCTGAAGTATATATACATTGTGAAATGGTTATATAGCTAATTAATAAATGCATTACCTCACATAGTTATCATTTTTTGTAGTAAGAACACTTAGCATACAGTCTCGTAGCATTTTTTCAAGAATACAATATATTGTCTTAACTGTAGTCACCATATTATATACTAGATCTCCTGAAATTCTTTATCTTTTCTAACTGTAAATATCCTTTTGCCAACATATTTCTGATGCCCTCCTATGCATCTCAGCCTCTGGTAATCAGCATTCTACTCTTATTTCTATGTGATCAATACATTGGATCCCACATATGAGTGTGATGATTCAGTATTTATCTTCCTATACTTGCCTTGACATCACTGATTGTCAAAGAAATGCAAATTGAAACTGCAGTGAGATCCCTCTCTCTTATTAGAATGGCTATTATCAAAGTCAAAAGATAGCAAAGTATTGGCAAGGAGAAAAGGGAACCCTTGCACACTGTTGGTGGAAATGTAAATTAGTATGGTCATTATGAAAAATGATATGTAAGTTCTTCAAAAGATTGAAAAGAGAACTACCATATGACACAGAAATTAATCCTTCTTTAATGCCTATACCCAAAGGAAATGAAATAAGTCTGTAGAAGGAATAGCTGCACTCCCATATGCATTGTAGCTATTGGCAATAGCCAAGATATGGGATCAACCTAAGTGTCCATCAGTAGATTAATGTATAAAAAAATGTGGTGTATATACACAATGGAATTCTATTCAGCCATAAAACAGAAGGGGATCTTGTTATTTGCAACAGCATGACTGAAGTAGCTAAGCTGGCTTGTTTGTGTTGTTATTGTGGTTTCCTAGTGAACCATCATTTCCCTGCCCCAACCCAGTTGAGCAGTAAAGTACACAGGTCTTAAGTGTACAGTTTGGTAAACTTTGACAGTTGTATATGTGCATAACCCCACTTAAAGCAAGATACAGAGCACTGCTGTCACTCCAGGGAGTTTCTTCATGCCGCTTGCCAATCAGTAGCCTTCATTTCTGCATCAGCAGCAAGTACTTTCTGATTTTTGTGATGATTACCTGTTCTAGGACTTCATATGAGTGAAATCCTATAGTGAGTGTGTTTTTGTGTGGAACAATGTTTGGTTTCTTTCACTCAACGTATTTTGGAAATTTATCCATGTTGCTCCTTTTTTGCTAAGTAGTACTCCATTGAATTTATATACTACATTTTGTTTATTCATTCTCCTTTTGATTGATGCTTACGTTGTTTCCTCTTGTTTATCATTGTGAATGCCCATATATAAGTCTTTTATTATAGATATGTTTTCACATGAATACCTAAAAACAGCATGGTTAGATCATAGAGTAGATGAATAGCTAACTTTATAAGAAACTTCCCAACAGTTTTTC